ACAGTGAGGCTGTGAAATGTGTTGTGCAAAGCCATGATGGGAGTGCTGCAGAGCAAATGTACTCTGTGGAAAATGATGATCAGCTCTCTCCCAACAGTTCTTCCCTGTTTTTCCAGTGATATAAGCTAGGGGGCACACATTAGGATAATAGGCTGATGATATAATAGAAGAGATGGTAAGAGGACAGGACAGAAGCTAAATAAGATGATCTTGTGATGATAATAACTTTACTTCTATAGTCAAAGTATTTGCAATGGAGTTTTCTTTCCTTTCTTAGCTGAGACAGACTTGTCTGGACGTCCTCTCCTCCTCATGTAAATTACAAAAGCCTAGAAAGAAAATGGGACCAGCAGTGGAGAGAAAAGGGAGGACGAGGAAGAGCTCTTAGGTGGCACACTTGCTGCTCACCTTTCCTAATTGCATCAGTTCAGTGGCTGACAAACACAAATTTAGAAACTGCAACAAGAAGACATTGATTTTAGATCAGCCACGTGACTGTGACCTTCAGAGCATTTCCTTTCCTTCTCTGGGATAATGTTGGAAGAGAAACAGATGATAGAGGTCTTCCAAAAAAGTTTGTTCGAGCAGCTGCTAGTCAGCACTTGGGAGATTGATGGGTGTAAGAGGAGGTTAAATTATGGAAATGTACTGTCTTTGTTGATCTGCTGAGTATGACTCTACAACATAAAGACTGTTTCTAGCCGCTCACTGTGGTTTCCGTGAGTGATTCATGGCTTTAGTATGCTCCACTCCCTCTCTGTGTCCCTCCTCTTCCCCTCTCTTACCCAACCGCACTCTCCCTCATCTTCCTCTCTCCCACTCACTGTCAGCTTAAATCCTACTTCAAAACTTTATGTCATGTGATGTATTTCTTGCCCTTTTTTCAGTTTTGTCGCTCTTTCATTTTCTTTGCCAGTGCTGATCTCCTCCACCTCATGCCTCTTCCTTCCTTTCTCTGTTGCTTGTTTCTCTTTACTTGTCAATGGAGTCCGCACAGTTTTGCAATAACAGAGCCCATTTTGTGGTTGCTGTTTTCAGCTTGCATTTGTGATCACACATTTTATTTCCAGCCTTTCATTTCTGGAAAATCATCAAACGCCGGAGTCACAAAGTGAAGGGAGGTTCTGCTCTGTCTTGGGCGAGTAGAGGAAAAGTATTGGTCACATTAAAGCGGGTTCACACTGTGTGCAGTGTGTTTCTTCGAGGACAAAGACTTCCCTGTTGGTGTGTGACTCGTACAGGATGTTTTGCATACTGGAATTCACTGCTTCTAATTTAGGAATAAAAAAATGCCTTTGAAAATAGGCAGCTGGCTTTGTAGTGCATTACATGACCCCAAGCACACCAGTGTCCAGCATTCAAACAGGTGGACGGGGGGTGGGGGGATTGTTAGAAGACAGAAACAGAAACCAAGTCATACATGCTGTAAACACACACACAGTAGAGGAAGCTCTGATATTAAGACTTAGAGTGTAGTTATAATGTACTGCATGCATGTGTTTTTCATACACGCGTACTTGTATCACTGATTCATTTTGTACTTTACCCTCGTGGCTCAAAACATGGTTAAGCAGCTTAAGCATGATCTGGTGGAGCTGGCAGTTGGCTCACATTCAAAGCCGAGGTGCTCACATGTTTGTGTGCTTTGCTCATTTCATTCCCCAAAGATCATCTTCTTGACACTGAATGGTAGCCGAGAAGCGCTCCTTGTGTATTTTGGATCCCCACGATCTTTCCTGAAGTAGCACCAACA